CCGCTTTCCCATTGTGTGGAGACCCTGGGAAACGGCCTCCCCAGCAGCTTAAGGGAAGGCCAATCCCTCAGGCCTAAAATCCCAAGGACCTGACTCCCCAATGTGTCAGAAACATACTCCTGCCTTTGTTTGTTTATCCCAATCATCCTTCTACTAAGACTATCAAAGTGGATTTATTCCTACTCAGGTTACCCTTCTGTTTTCCACCAGCAACTTCATGGAGGCAGTGTGCTGCGGCGTAACATAAGAGCACTACAGAAGGAGTCAGGAGACCTCAGTTCCAGTCATTCTGTGCCCCTCACTGGCCTGAGACCATGGACATGCCATACAGCACTTGGGGCCTCAGTTTCTTTCCTGTAAAAGAGACAAAATAACACCACCTCCCAGGGTGGCTGAGGGGCCCTATAACGTGTCGCCTGGAGCTAGTGGTGCCTGTGCCACAGAGCCCCTCCCTACGCATGTGAGCTGTTTGCACAGTGCCGGACACACAAAAGGTGCTTGGCAAATGCCTCTGCACGTTCCTTTCTTGTCTCAGACGTACTATCACACTGTATTGCTTTCCTAAGGCTGTTCTAACAAACTACCACACACTGGATGGCTTAACACAGCAGGAATGTATTCCCCACAATTCTGGAGGCCAGAAGTTCAAAATCCAGGTGCCGCCAGGGCTGCACTCTTCCCCGTTACTAGGGAGGCCCCTTCTCTGCTTCTTTCAGCTTGTGGCTCCCAGCACTTGTGCTTGTGGCTGTGTCACTCTAGTCTCTACCTTGGCGGTCACATGGCCTCCTCCTCTGTCTCTGGGTCTTCTCTTCTGTGTCTTGTAAGGACACTTGTTATTGGATATAGGGCCCACCCCAAAAATGCAGGATGGTCTCATCTCAAGTTCCTTTACTTAAAGACACCTGCAATGACCCTTTTCTTTAAAAAAAAACAAGGTCAATTTCACAAGTTCTGGGGGTTATGGCATGGACATATCTTTTGGGGAGGGTTACCATTTAACCTACTACACATAACTTTGGGGGTTACTTTCTAGATCAAGCCTGTGGTATGATTAGGCACATTTATTTTCATAACCACCTCAGTGAATCTACCATCAGTTTGATATTAATAAAGCAGGACATATAAGGAAAGAGAAGTAAGAACAAAAACTTGTTTTTTATTTGTTTCGTATTCATAAGTAGGCAGAAAGCCTTCTCTCCTGGGCCCCCAATTTAGGAGTGATGAGTTGAGTGCACTCGTTATGCTCACCCCCATCTGCTGTTCACATTGCTCCCATATGGGTAGGAAGGAACCGTGGCCTTCCTGTCACAGAACCCTCTGTCATGCCCTTGCTCTGACCCCATCTCCTGCTGGCTCCATCCCATGTTACCTCTGACCTCCCGCCTTGGCCCTCTGAGCAGGGCTCCCATGCACTGGCTGTCTGATCCAGCTCTGGGCGGAACACTCTGGTCAGACGCCTGTTTGCTCCCGCGGTTCCCTCTCTCCTCCTTCCTTATTACTCCCTGAACCTTCCAAACCCAGTGTAGGCTGTAAAGGGCATCCAGAGACCACTGTGCACTAGAATGTAGTTGAAGGAAAGTGGTCCCAATGAAACAGGCCCCATGGCTTCAGGGTGACTGAGCCCCTGGGGCTGAGGACTCTACCCCAGAGCTGAGTCCTCGCTTTCAGTGACTCCAGTTCAGCCAAGGCAGTGGAAACGCTTACTGAGCACTTACCTCAGGGACTTCGGTGCGTTTCCTCATCAATTCCTGACAGCGCCCCCTGAGGCTCTCTGAGCGCCATCTCTCATTTCCACATGGTGTGAAGAAATTCAGCTGCCTTGGGTTCGTTCCATACACAGGGGAAGACAGTCCCTGGACCTTCTTACCACTCGGGTACTGTGGGGACAGAGAAAGTGTGCTAGGGTGACAGGACAGAGGAAGTGTGTGAGTGTGAGGACAGAGGAGGTGTGCGAGT